AGAACCTTTTCTAATGTCCAATCTGAAATCCTCTGATGGAGTTTCATTCTATTTCCTTGTGTCCTAGTGCTGGTCACCAGAGAGAGAAGATCAGCACCTTCTCCTCCACTGCTCCTCTTGAGAATGCTGTGAACAGCAATGAGTGTACTCAGCTATATATACTCTTAAAAAAAAAAAATCAGATTTTTCCTCCCTTCCCACTAATAGTCCAGGAGTGCAGCTGCACATCCTGAAATGCTGCCTCAGTATTAGTAATGGAAATCCATCCTCTAGCATTGCCCAGAATAGCTGTTGTTCACCACCTCAGGGATGATTTGTGTAGTGCCTCCATGGTCAGGTCCTGCTGACAACACCCAAAGGTGGCTGCTGCGTAGGAAGGGCTGTATGTGAGCCTCTGTGGCCCTTTGGGGTGAGGGTGCTGCTACTTCTGCACAATGATAAGTAGTGTGATCTGTGCGGAGAAGGGGAATGCCCTTTCTTTTTCTGAAACTTCACTGAGATTGTGAATGAGGTGCATTTGTATATTAAATCTTTCCGTATATTATGCAGCAGGCACTTTGTGTGGGTAAAAGGCAAGTAATGCTGTGAGTCAAAACTACTTAAAAGGCAGAAAACAAGTTAGCAAACAAATATATGGTCATGTTTGTGCAGTGGTAAAATACAAGGGCTTCATGATTTTCTACTAAATATAAAGCTGATCAGTACAGTAATGATGAGGAAAGGGATTGGCATGAACATGGAGGTGGCTAAATTTATAGATGACTCAGTTACTGAGGTCTAGAAAAAACTGTGAGGAACTTCAGCAACTAAATTGCACAGTCGTCATGATCTCCCATTAAATTAATTGTCAAAAAAGCAAAATCAAACCCACTAGAAAAATTAAACTTTCCAGACTCCTCGTAAGAGCTTAATTAATAGAGTCATGATAGGGTGAAATTTGTGTGTCACTGTGTACTCCAACTGAAGATCTTTATTTAGTGCAAAGCTAGTGTTAGGTTATGTTATGATAAAATAAAAAAGTAGGGAAATATAGAAAATACAGAAAATACAATAATTATATCCTGTGAATCTCCGGTGTTTCTTCTCATATTGTGTACGTCTCTTACTCATTTCAGTGGCTGTGGGGATAGGTGACAGCAGTTCTGAAGGGACTGAAGAAAGTCTCCTCTTAAGAAACAGTCGGTAAAGAGTAGGGGCTTTCTGTCTTGGTGGGGACATGGTGGATGGGAAGTGCACAGGCACAGAGCTGACTGCAGAAATCAGAGTGTGGCTGAACACACAGAGAGGGGATTCATCCAAAATGAGAAATGCAGTGCTACTGAAGAGAGGATATTTATTTATTTAATGTCACAGCTTCTGAGTGTAGTTGGAGAAGGCTGTGCAGGGTCAGGGATCTGTGTTCAGAATGTGCCTGGAGATGAGCTCTGTCCAGATGTTTATTCCAGGCAAGTTGAAGACAACAGTCTTCAGGAGCCTGAGAATAGATTCCTTGTACTGGTCAATGGAACTGAGGGATTTTGCCATTTGCAGTGCGGTTTCCAGCCATGCATTTCATTGTGATAGAGCTCTAGTAAGGACAAATACCTCGCAGTGACCTGCACAGCATGGTTCCAGTCACCATGGCTGCAATGTCAGTCACACCGCTATGTGTTTCTGGTGCACGTAGTTTTGGTTAGTGAGAGGAGGGATGTGCCAGGCTGTATGTTTAAATCCTCTGTCTGTGCAGCTGCTCCCTCAGGCTGTGTAGAGAAAGCTCCTCTGCCTGATGAGCACTTGGATTCACAGTTTTGGGCCTGTGTGTTCCCTCAGCTGGGCACGGCCCTTGCAGTGGTGCTGCTGCAGTGGGCTGAGGAGGTCACTGCTGCCGCTCGGGGTGAGCAGGGGCTGGGCACAGGCCGGGTCTAGGGCACTGTGTTTGCAGTTCAGCCTGGAGTTCATGTGCTGTTCTGCTTTATCTCTGAATTTAGTTAAAAAACAGTTTGGGGTTTTGGTGTGCATGGGTGTGTGCAGTAAGTCAGTGTTTCTGGCAATGGCCTCCTGAGAACCAACTGCTGCAGCTGAAGAAAGGGAATCTGCCCCACAGTGGGTCTGGAGCAAAGTTCTGGGGGGCTGCACTGCTTCAGAGAGTCACAGAACTCCCAAATTGTAGGTTGGAAGGGACCTCTTGAGGTTGTCTAGTCCAATCACACCTGCTTAAGAAGGGTAAGCAAGATCAGGTTTCCCATGCCTGTATTCAGTTGGGTTTTTATCTCCAAGGATGGATGCTCCACAGCCTCTTTGTACAATCTATTCCAGTGTTTGACCACTCTCACAGTAGAAACAGTGTTTTCTTGTGTTCAAATGGAATTGCCTGTGTCTTAATTTGTGCCTCATATCCTGTCATTCAGCACTACTGACAGAAGTGTCTGACTTTCTCTTCTTCGTTCCATCCCATCAGGTATTTATTTATATGTATTGAAAATATCTCTCCTCCATGCTCAACCTTGCCTTGTATGAAAACACTTCAGTCCCTTTATCATCCTCACAGCCTTTCACAAGACTTAGTCCTTCTCCATTCATCTCTCCCATCTGCCAGCAGCTGCTGGCCCTGCAGCTTGAGCCTTCTCTTTCTTCCTCGTGTGCAGGGGACATTCCCGGGGGTGAGGGGCTGCCAGCCAGAATGCTAAAAGCCAGGCTTTGTTCACGGCCCCGGGGGGGACAGCTCAGCTGCCTGGGCTCAGATCGCAGTACTGGAAGCAAGCAGCAGTGTTTTTATGCGTGTTACTGCTGCAGACGGGCCCCTTCCCTCTGCAGCTGGCAGTGTCACCAGCCCTGCCCGGCTGGCAGCGCGCAGGCTGGCACTGGGTGCCTGGAGGGATGCCCATGCGCAGGCACGGTGACTGCACGTGGCACGAGGACGAGGCTGCTGGTGTTGGCGCTGTGCACCAGGCTGTGTTCCCCAAGTGATGTGGGTAACCACTGCCAGAGCAGTACCTGGGGTGTGCAGGCACCAAGGTGGCAGAGGCTGAAGCTTGGAGAATGGTGAGAGTTTCACTTGGCCCCAGTAGTAATGTTGAAAAATGGGACCAGATCACTTCTATTCTGGATGCCCCAAACAGCAGGGGTGGAGGTCTCAGTGGTAGGGAGCTGTGTGAACACTGCACAAAAAATCAGTGGGGAACCAGGGTGCTCCTTGTGAGCACTGCTGGGACCTCAGCAATGCCAAGGCACCAGCAGTGCCTTCACAATTGCCATTGCCTCAAGGATGAGTGAGGTTTTGCTTCTTGCAGCTGCACAGAATGCCCCAGAACACCTCCCGGGCCCTCCTCATCTGCACCTTCTCCCACTCTCCCACGCTGCTCCCCATGGCTCACTTGCAGCATCCCTTCTGTGCACAAGGACTTGCTTCCCAGTGCCTTCAGCCATACACCAATCCCACATCGAGTGGCAGAAATGCCCCTGAACTTAGTGCATTTTGCACAGTGATGGTTTTTAGTCTAGAGGGACCATATTTTTAGCCAATCTGACAGAACACAAGTTCAGAAAATAGCTGGAGATGCTGTGCAAGTAGTTCTGCTGAGAGCTTAGAGCCAGTCTCTCTTTGGGCTGAAAGCTGCCTTCTGGGCATATCTGTCTGATTAGTTGCTGGCAGTGAGTACACCATTCCAGTAAAGTGAGTATGACTGCTGAGCATTGGCCTTTCTCTGACTTCTTTCTGTGTCCTTTTCGAGTCTTTCTTTGAAATACCAGCTTGATTGAGCTATTTTAGGATTGAGATCTGCCTAGAAAGAGCTGATGGGAGGTTCTGGAGGCTGGAAAGAATAACATTGTCAGAGAGCAACAGTTGTCTGAAAGGTGAGAAATAGAATTAGATGTTCATTTTCAGTGAAGATCTGTGACCCTCCAATCTATATGAGGAATTAAAACCTATGAAAGACTTAAACCCTATAAATTATACATTCAAACAGTTAAGTTCTAAGTGCCTATCTTGTTGAGTGGATGTAATGTCCAGAGGTAGGTATTTGCAAAGACTGGAATCAAAAAAGATTTTGTGCTGCCTGCTGTGTCCAGGAAAGTGCTGCAGGAAGGTCCTGTACATTGGTCCTGCATCCAGAGCCATCTGATGTGGGCAAACAGCGGTGGCTCTGGTCCTGCCTGTCAGCATGGCAGACACTCACCACCCTTCTTTCTAATACATTAATAGGGCCTGGGCATTATGGCAGCATTTTGCCAAATAGCTATATAATGCCCATGCTAATGTGAGCCCCCAAACTGCTTTTTTACATTCCCAGGATCTTGCTTGCTCTTCTTTTGCTCCTCTTTTTTTCCCTAAAGAGAGCAAAGTCCTGTCTGGGTACCTGTTTGTGCCTCTGACAGAACAAGCATTCTTCTTGTCTAGATGCTCCTCACAGCAGCAGCCTGGGAGTACACATTTGGATTAAAGAAAAGCGCTTCAGAAGAGAAAAAAACTGTAATGAATGATGAGAGATTTGTTATCAGTGCTGCACCACTCCAGTGAAGGGTGAGTTGGCACCTGCTGACTGGCTTATAGAGCCCTGTGGTGAGTAGGGCTTGGACAACACCAGGGACACCTCTCAGTGGTAGCTGCCATGAGGCAAGGCACTTCTGTCTGGAAGGGATGATTCGTCTGTGCCAGTGGTTACAGGCACAGCCATCTGGCACAGGCAGGCAGCTCAGAATCAGAGAATCAACTAGGTTGGAAAAGACTTCTGAGATCATCGAGTCCAACCTTAGTTCAAAGTGCCTGGCTCTGTGGACTTCAGAACATGTTGGAGCTGAGTGGCAAATTGTGCTGATCCAGAAGTAGGATTTCTTTCCTTGTTGCTGAAAAGAGTTTGCTCTGTTCTCTGAGACCCAGGTATTAAATTGGGTCTCAAGTGCAATTTGAAGTCTTGCAATCAAACCCATGCTGAAGTGGAATTTTTGAGGCGAAAATATCAGTAGCTGGGTGCTGTCTCATCTGCTTCTCTCATCCTGTCTAATCCCTTTTCTCTCCCCAGGCCAAAGAACTCTCCATCACCGGACTGATATCCTGGAGACGGTGATCCTGGTAAATCCTAATGTGGACAGCATCGTGTCTGAGGTAAGGATGAGGTGCCAGCGAGTTCTCTCCACATCAGCTCTCCTGACTTGACATAGAGGTGATGATCATCACACCTTGCACCTTCTGGAGAGTGTGAATGTGCTGCCAGTCTGCTGCAAGGTGAGGTGAAGTGGCCAAGTGTTCTGGTCTTGCCAATAACCAGGACATGTGCAGTGACTATGATGTGACATGGAGCTGTGTTGGGCAGACAGTAGCAGTGTCTTTCCTCTTCAATAACCAACCTTCTTGTACGTATAAAACTTAGGGTTTGGCTGTTTGTGAATAACACATGAGTATTGCTTGTCCATGGGATTAGGATTCTGGGTGCTGGTGAGGAGTACAGGCAACTTCTGACTGCAGCACTATGTCTGATGGTAACAGGTCCGCTCACTGGTGTGTGATTCATCAGCCCACAAACTACTGATCCTCTGTGGACAGAGCTCAGACCAGGAAGGAGACTTGGTCCTGCAGACAGGGACCTTCACTTACCAGAAGTTTGCTGAGATACTTTCAGACCCAGAGGTGAGTGTGACCCATAATCCAGCATGACCCCTCCTGTTCAGAGTGCACGGTAGAGCAACACAGCCTGCGCCCTCCTTCTGGTGACAGATTTGCAGACAGATGGGTTTGAAATCCAGAAAAAAATTGCACACCACAAATACTTCATGTTATTGTCTTGGGAATCCTGCTTTAACTCCCTGGCTTAAGTTTTCCAGTGTGTAGGCATGGGTGATTCCTTTAAGTGTTCAGCTTGAAATAACCTTCTAGACTGACTCTGCAGTGGGCTGGAACTCAAAATTTCTTGAAGCAGGTCTTAACACAACTGTGGGCAGCTTCTGAAAACACCCAACAGAGGCCATCATCACTCTGGTAAATGTGGGTATTTCTCTTCCTGTCATAGTGCAGCAAGTATGTTCACAGAAGGTTAAGAGTGTTCATCAGGGGTTTGTAAAGATGATGAGGAGATGAGTAAATACTGATTAAGTAACTACGTGATGATTACATAACTACAAATGTCGCTGTTTAATTGCAGAATTCTTGCATCATTCAGATTGGAAAGGCACACAAGAGGTCTGTAGCCCAACCTCCTGCACAGAGCAGAGTCAGCACTGAATTTAGGCAAGCTTGCTCACGGATTTGTCCGTGAGGCCTGGAAAATCTTATAGGGAACCCCTGAACCGCTTCTCCAGTGCTTATTTCTCAGCTAGCCATACTATAGCTTTCCTGAGAGACTTTACATTGTGTTTCTGTTGGCGCTCATTGCCAATACAGATGTTCTCAGTTTTTGAGAAGCCCTACTTCCACTGATCGTGTGCCAGATGCTTAGAATGTCTTCATCTGAGTGACAGGAATGGCTGAGTGATACTTCAACAATTGATATTATTACTGCTGTAATTGAATCAGCATGTATGGTCTCCTTCATTTTTTTAAAGCTGGTTGTTCTCATTTATTTCTGGTATCTTGTTTATTTGGACAGGAACTAGTCAGTTAAGGGCTGTCTAAACAAGAGAATACAGTGTGCTAATCTCATTCTAGATACTTAGGAAGTTGAGGTGTAATGCTTCTTTGCTCGATATGTACTCAGCGTAGCTGTAAAGAGCCTTGGAAATTATATATGGACCTTAGTCCTACTTATTAATGGTGTAGCATGTCCCCAACCCTGTATGTGTAGCAGAGGTGGAGTCATGACTTTCAAAGTAGGTTCCAGGAAAGAAAATGAATTAAAAAAGAAAGTGCTGTGGCACTAGAACTGCACAGAGTGCTCTATGATGTTTCACTAGCCAGTGAACGACAGTAAGTTCTGACAACGATGCTTAGCATTGAAAAAGTTGTCTCAAAGTTAGAATTCATAAATCAGAAACAAAAACCCCAACCTGCTGCTTTTGAGCCCAAGCCAGGGACTGATATCCCAAGTTATACAGGAAGAAGTAAGGAAAGAGGACAAAGTGGCTCCTGCTTTTCTTTTCTTTCCTGCGGTCTTGGCACAGTACACTCCCAGCAGTCAGGAAGCACAACAGCCCATCGACATTAAGAATTTCAAAAGAGATCAAGACATGCCCCCATGCATTGATTTGCAATGGGCTTTTGGCCCCTCAATATTTCCTGTCAGTAAAGTGCTCATGGTGTCTTCAGTATTTCTGCACTAACTGTATTTTTTTTAAGTGCTGTACAGCTCTCAGAGCTCTGTTTGACCTTTATTTGTCTGTGCTTGTCTCATTAGGTCACCCAGATTCTCAGCAACACTGACTCAGATACCAAGGCCTCCCTTACTGTGTCGTGCCTGGGAGAAGGAGCCTGGAGCAACCTTGGGCATCCTCAATTTCAGGAAATTATAAATCTGAAACTGAATCCTGATCCAGTTCTGCCAGAAATGGATGGGGTGTCTGAGTTCGCAGAATATGTCTCTGAGACAGTCGACGTGCCGTCTCCATTTGATCTCCTGGAGCCGCCCACCTCAGGGGGCTTTCTGAAGCTTTCTAAGCCCTGCTGCTACATATTCCCTGGGGGAAGAGGTGATTCTGCTCTCTTTGCTGTCAATGGGTTTAACATCCTTGTGGATGGTGGCTCTGAGAGGAAATCCTGCTTCTGGAAGCTGGTAAGGCACCTGGATAGGATTGACTCAATCCTGCTCACCCACATTGGTGCGGACAACCTGCCCGGCATCAATGGGCTGTTGCAGAGGAAAGTTGCTGAGCAAGAGGAGGAACAATCCCAGGGCTCTACCAACTATAGTGACTGGATGAAGAATCTAATTTCTCCTGAGCTAGGGGTGGTTTTTTTTAATGTTCCTGAAAAACTGAAGATGCCTGAGGCATCCATGAAAGTAAAGAGGAGCATCGAAGAAGCGTGTCTGACACTGCAGTATCTTAACAGACTGGGCATTAAATCAGAGCCTCTCTACAGGGTAGTGAGCAGCACCATTGAGCCCATCACACTCTTCCACAAAATGGGAGTGGGTAAGCTGGACATGTATATACTGAACCCTGTCAAGGACAGTAAAGAAATGCAGTTCCTAATGCAGAAATGGGCTGGTAATAGTAAAGCAAAGACTGGTATAATTCTCGCAAGTGGGAAAGAAGGTGAAATTTCTGTTCCCTATCTCACATCCATCACGGCCCTAGTGGTGTGGCTTCCAGCCAGTCCAACAGAGAAAATTGTAAGGGTTTTGTTTCCTGGAAATGCTCCTCAAAATAAGATACTGGAAGGTCTTGAGAAACTCAAGCACCTGGATTTTCTGAGGTACCCAGTGGCTACTCAGAAAGATATCACTTCTGGAATACCTCCACCTGTGCTGAAGCAGACCAAAATTAAACAAAGAACTGACAGTAAAGAGAGTCTTAAGTCTTCTCCCAAGCCATCTGTGACAAAGCAAGTCAAGAAAGAAGAGGCAGTTGAGGAGGGGATTAAGGAAGTAAAATCAGAAGTTGTAAAGGATGCTAAAATTGAGAAAAAGATTAAAGAACACACAGAAAAAATTTCTGAGAAATTTGTTAAACCTGAAAAGATAAGTGATGCTCTCAAAGCTGAGAAAAGAAAATTGGCAAAAGACAAGGTTGGAAAAAAGCATCTCAAAGAGAAAGTGTCCAAATTAGAGGAGAAGAAAGACAAAGAAAAGAAAGAGATCAAGAAGGAGAAAAAGGACTTAAAAAAAGATGATGGAAAGAAAGAGGAAAAAAAGGATTCAAAGAAAGATGATAAAAAGAAAGAAAACAAACCAGAGCCCAAAAAAATTCCTAAACCGGACTTGAAACCATTTACCCCAGAGGTAAGAAAAACATTGTACAAGGCAAAACTTCCAGGCAGACTCAAAACTGAGAAGATTAAAATCAAACCTGAAAAGGAACCTGAAAAGGTACCTGCTGACCTGAAGACATCACCAATGGAGAAGGTAGCTGTACAGGCAGAGCCAGGAGAGACTTCTATAGCAGCACAGAGGTTAGTCCTGTCTTCACCAGAAGATCTTACAAAGGACTTTGAGGAACTGAAGCACGAGGAGAAAGGGGTCTTGCAGGTGACTCAAGAACTGCCTGATATGAAGGTTAGTGATAAGATTGTGAGAGCACCTGAAGCAGAGATAAAAGACTCTGCTGACATGACTGGTCAGAGTTGCCTTGAAGCAGATCTGATTTTGAAAACAAGGACTCCAGATCAGGGAATAACTACTATTGATATGGAAAAAGAATCACCAGCAGAGGAAAAGGCAGTCCATCATCTGGAACTGAGGGGAGGTCGTGCTGAAAAAATAGAGGATGAAAGAAGAACAATAGATGAAAACCGTGACATGAGATACTGGGAGGGAAAAACTGAGCAGAGCAAGGACATTCAGCTGTTTCCTGACAAAGACCAGGTGCCATCACAGACAGACTTCTTGGCAAAGGGTATTTGGCCACCAGTGTTCAAAGAGGAAGAAAAGGAGGAAGAGGAGAAAATCTCTTTGGACAGAAAACAGAGGGAAGCAGAAACAAAGACTTGTGAAAAGTATGTTGAGGGGACAGAGGCACAGGAAAAGGGTGAGAAGGAAAAGAAAGAAGATGTGATAGAAAAGGCAGAACTGGAAGAAAAGGAAGAACAGCACATGAAAGCAGAGAAGCTGGAAAAGAACAGAGACTTCTATGAGCTGAATGAGAGGGAGGACAAACTGTCTACCACTACAGAAAAGGAGAAAGAATTAAGTGACATGGGTGAGAAAAACAAGTTACTTGTAAAGGACACAACAAAGGAAGAGTCATATCTGAGCAGCCTGCCAGTCCCACCAGGAGCAGCAGTAGAACATGTTTCCTATATTCAAGATGAAACTATCCCCGGCTACTCAGAAACAGAGCAGACCATTTCTGATGAAGAAATACATGACGAACAGGAAGAGAGGATCCCACACTTGAAGTATGATGTCAACACCTATGACATTTCTGTTCCTGACCACCCAGGCTCTTTTGAAGCAGTGCATGGAATACAGGCTGTGCCTCCTGCTGACCTTTCAGCTAAGGGCTATGCTGGCCAGGAGTCTGAAATCCTGGCATATCCTACAAACATTGTGGCAGCACCTCTGGCTGAGGAGGAACACATATCCTCTGCCACCTCCATTACAGAATGTGACAAGCTTTCATCCTTTGCAACTTCAGTAGCAGAAGATCAATCTGTTGCATCTATAACAGCACCACAAACAGAAGAGACTGGAAAAAGCTCTTTACTTCTGGACACAGGAAACAGCATGCCCTCCTCTCGGACTGAAGCAACCCAAGGTCTTGACTACGTTCCCTCTGCTGGCACAATCTCTCCCACATCATCCTTGGAGGAAGACAAGTGCTTTAAATCTCCACCCCCTGAAGATTTCCATGCATTAGCAGAAGGAGAGAGAAAACTGGAAGCTCAAAAAAAGAATCTTCACGAAGAGGCAGAAGATGAAGAGGATGAAGAAGATGGTACTCCAAATATTGAGATTCCTGAGAAACTCAGAGGGCATTACGATGCCTCCATGTTTGCTCCTCAAGGATGCCCTGATAATGTGATAATCAGTGTTCCCACAGAAATGATGCCGTTATCCGCTGAAGAAGCACCATTTTCCCAGGCTGACTCTGCAGAGGCTGAAGAACGATGCATGAGTCCTGATGACAGCACAGTCAAAATGGCCTCTCCCACTCCATCTGGCCCTACCAGTGCTGGGCACACACCCTTCCACCAGTCTCCAGTGGAGGAAAAGCTGGAAACAGTAGATTCAGATCTATTTGAAAAACAAACAGATGCTACTGCCAAGAAACTGGAAGGCCAAACTTCCGTTGTGGTGAAGAGAGCCAAGGGTGAACCTCTCAGAGAAGACGAGGCATCTGCAGCTAAATCCAGACATGAAAAAGAAGTAACTGGACCTGTGCAGCACAAACTGGTCTTGGGCAGTGAATTTCCAGTGTCTCCTGGGGAGGAGGTGCAGGAAGAACCACTGAGGAAAGAGGAGCTGCCCTGGCTCTCCTACCACAAGCAGGACACGGTGGTGATCGGGGAGGAGGAGGAGGGTCCTGGAATGCCCCGTCCCAGCACAGAGCCAGAAAAAGAGCGAGGAACTAAAACCATGACAGAAAGTTTAATGGGATTTTCAAAACACTTGTCCTTTGAGCCATTTGCAACCACAGAAGCGTCTCTAGGACACGTGGATCTTTCACAGTTCACAAGCCAAAGCAAATCTGAAAGTGACAAATCTTTGCAATTTTCACCAGATGACACCAAATCACTTTCTTTTACAGAAGAAAGTATTGGTAAAGAAAAACCCTCAGATATTTCTAAGGGAGTTACTGCTGAAGAAGGAAAAGCACAGTATTTCACAGGAGACACTTCAGAAGAGAAATCTTCTCATGTTTCCATTAAAGACATTTCCCCAGAAGAGAACAAATCCACCTCTCTCACTGCGAGTCCCAGCAGGGAAATCTCTTCAGACCTTTTTGGTAAAGGAATTTCTCTGGAAGACATCAAATCCCTTAGTTTCACAGAAGAGATACCTACAAAAGAAAAAACTATGTCCAACTTCACTGACAAATTCCCTGCAGAAGCTGTGAAATCTATGGGTTTCACAGACCAGAGCCCAGCTACATATGAAAAATCACTGGGAATTTCTGCCAAAGAACTGAAAGAAGCATCAAAATCTTCTCCTTGCCCAGAAAGTAGTTCAGTTAAAGACATGTCACCCAGAGATTCTTCAACTGAAGAAATGTCTCCAGATGATAGCAGTTTATTTTCTGCATCAGAAAAGGACCCGTTTAGGAGAAGAACTGCAGGCTCGGACTCTCAGGAAGTATCTCCAGATGCAAAGGCCTTACAGTTTACAGAATCTAGCCCAACTGAGGATAAAAAATCCTCACACATTTCTACTGAAGATGTAAAATCTTTTGGGTTCAAGGAAGCTCAAGAAGAAAAATCTCCAGAAATGGAAGACTTTTACATGAAAGATTTAAGTTATGAGAAGAAAGTGTGGTTTCCTGAAGAGGTGCAAGAGATCCCTGTTCAGGGAGGGCGGCAGAGATATGACAAAGAGAGAGAGAGCACATTCTTGGATGAGGTACCAGAATTTGAAACAAAATCCCTTCCTAAAATGGGAAAGGAGGAGATCCTGCCTCCTGCAGTGCCTGGCAGCCACACCTGGAGAGGAGCAGAAAGGGAAGCATGGGACTCTGCATTTGGATATCTTCAGGAAGGGAGAGAGAGTGGAAGAGGAAGGCAGTTACCCAGTGAGGAGGATAAGGAGGTCTACCATGCTGAAGACAAAACCATGCAAGAAGAAACAGAATGTTTGAAGATGGAGTCATGTGATTACGAAGAAGACACGAAGAGGAGTGCCACATTTATGTCAGAAAAAAAGAAAGTGGATGTGGTTCCTGCTGACATCACTGTGCTAGAAAGAACACAAGGGGAAGGTTCTCCTCTGTCTCCTCAGTATGTCTCTGGTGAGGAAAACCAGGCCAAAGCTTTAACTGGAAAGAAAGAAAGGCAAGAAATACTGTTGACATCTAAACAAGATTATTCCTATTTAGATGATGAGGAGAAAGCTGTCTTAGATATCTATGCAAAGTCACTAGACCAAGCAGTGACGGGATCTCCCCTGTCTGCAATGGGAAAGGAGATTGAGGCAGCACCAGGAGCAGAGAGGCCTTGCAAGTTAGATCAGTGCAAGCCACCTTTGTGGGAGGATGTCCCATCAAAGATGGCTGAGAAGAAATCAGACATCAGTGATTTGTATCAGGAAGTAGACTGCCAATACAAGTCAGATAGAAGGCAGAAGGATGACTGCAAATCCACTGAGGAGCTGTATGACTCTACAGGAAGGAAAGAGCAGACAGCAGCAGCATCTACTCTGTTGCAGTCTACAAGACCAGCAGAATATATTGCAATGTCCCCAGAAGAGAGCGCTGTGGTGTCAGGGCAGCGTGCACATTCTCCTTTTGACAAAGGACAAAGCCTTTGTCAAAAAAGCAGTGCTGCCATGGGCCATGCTGGGGCAGTAGGTGTTGCCATCCAAGAGTTGTATCCTCCAGAGACCTATTCCAGGAGCTCCGTTGAGCCTTATTCTTATGAGGAAGGAGTCTGCACATATAGAAATGATGACAGTTCGACAAGACAAGAGCAAGAAGAAAGAGAACCAACTCCCTACCCTGATGAAAGAAGTTTCAAGTATGCTGACATCTATGAGAAGGTAATTGTGTCTGGAGTGGGACTCTCCCCCTTCACAGCCAAGAGTGCAGACAGCCCAGGTCACACTGACAAGGTGCCAGTAACAGCACTGAGCTCTCAAAAAGGTCAAAGTTTTCACGTCTCTGCAAAGGAAGAGGAGTCCTGCCTTTATACCTCTGCTGAGAAGGAGTTGTCATCTCCAGCATCCCCTAGAGATAAAGCAGATTCAGTCTTTGACTATACAGATACCCATGAAAGATACTTGCCCTTGTCTGAAACAGGAAAGCCTAGGATATCAGAAGAACAGGAAAAAATGAATGTGTCTTCTGTTTTGCCAGGAGAACTGGACTCTGCACTTCACCCATCATCTGCAAGTACAGTATTTGCCCTTCCCACAGGCACGACTGACACCTTTTATCAAGGGAAATCATCCGCCTATATTGATGCCGGTCGTCCGGATGAGAACATCATTTTGTCTAGCCAGGAGCAGGTACCTCTGTCCATGAAATCTGAAAGCCCAGATCCCAAAGATACATACTATGAGAAAGCAGGTCGTGGGGAAGAAAGCACGAGTGACTCAGAGTTAGAAAAAGGTGCTAAGGAGAAGTCTGAAAAGGAGTCTAAACTGCACGTCCCAGCTGGAGCTGCAGGCACTGTCTATGCACACACCTCAGCCATAGGCAAGTTCCCTGTCTCAGAGACCCTCCTGCAGAGCAAGCGTCAGGATCCCCTTTCCCCCAGCTCCACTTCCTCTTCTCCCTCTGGTCCAGGCTGGAAAGAGGAATATGGAAGTAGGACAACTGCATCAGCTGCTGTCGTGGAAACGTATGTTGCTGGTTACACTGATATGCCAGACATGGGCAGAGCTTCAGAAATGTGCCATGGAAGACAGAATTCTTCACAAAAGAGAGAGGTTGCTGAAGAATCCACAAAGGAATCTCATTTCTGTGTAGCAGATTATCCAAGTGCAGCAGTGGTCTCCGAGTGCCCAGAGCAAGCCACATACTTGAAATCTGCTTCCAAAAAACACACAGAGGAATATGAACAGGACCCAACAGTAGAGGACAGAGGGATGGATAACTCTTCTGGATTTGAAAGCTCCCTGCCAGGAAAGAGTGAAACAGCCAGCATGTTCAGACTCGAGCAAACCTCAGCAAGCCATTTAGGGGATATCTCTCTTTCTTTAAAGTCTCCATGTGCTTTGCTCTCAGACCAGCAGAAGAAAGATGAGTACTTGGAGGTTTCTGAGAAAATCAGCAGCCTTGACTCATCTTTTCCTAAATTCTCACCACTGAGTCCATATGAAGAAGACAAGTTGTTCTCCAAAGGTGTGGAGAGAGAGTCTGTGCCCCAGAAACAGCTGAAAGATGACTCTTCCAGCCTGTCAGAGGAACCTTCATCTGAAGCCACCACTCCTGTGATACCAAGTACAGCAGAAAGTTTCTACTCCCATATGCTTTCCACATACACAGGTGCAGGAGTGGAACCAGGTACCAGGAGTCCTTGGGATGTGTCTCCACAGATTCCAGATAATGCTGTGAAAACACATATAGCTGAAACCAAAGATTTTGTGTTTGCTGAAGAACACGGTTCTCCCTTCCTCTGTGGCATGGGTGACAGCACCTTGCCATGCAGAAAGGAGTGCCAGGTCTCAGAGCCCATGCCATCCTCTGAGAAGGAAGAGCAGCAGCCCTGTGGCAGCAGTCCAGAGCAGAAGGCACCGTTTGCAGAACAGCTGCTGACACTGACATCTCTCCCTGATGTGTTGACATCATTTCCTCATCATCAGCATGAAGATGAAGCCACAGCCAATGGTCCAACAGAGGTGAGCACCAGTCTGCAAGCTTTCCAAAGCACGTACCATGCAGCAGAGGCAAACGATGAAAGAACATATCCCGATTCTGACAGCAGTTTTTCTCCATGCACAGGCAAAGAGGATACAGAGAGGCAAAGCCGCCCCTCCTCTCTGATGTCCCCTGAACACAGTTTCCAGCCCTTTATTCCAGATATGCAGAGAGGTGGAAAAACAGAGGACCATGGAGATGCTTCCCATGACATGGAGCCACATTTAGGAGGCAGTTTTGATTGTGGACAGAAATTTTCCTCATGTGAATACAAGCAGAGAAAGGGAGAGCTCTCTCCCTCATTCATCAACCCGAGCCCCCATGAGCTCTCTGAAGACAGTGACCTTTCACAGGAGGATGGTCACCCTTCAGTACAGGGAAGACAACCCCACACTGGGAGCAGCCCCATGCAAAGCGCCACAGTGGAGGAAACCCCTCCAACATCAGTGAGTGATTCTGGAACCTCCCAGTCAGACTCAGATGTCCCGCCTGAGACTGAAGAATGCCCATCCATCACAGCAGATGCCAACATGGACTCAGATGAAGATGCCGACTTCCTCCCAGTGGACAAAGCTGTGGGGAATGCTCATCACGCCAGTTCTAGGTCCAGCCATGATCCTCAGCCTGTTCCAATGGTAGATCCCCATCCCCACCCTCCTCACCCTGATGTCTGCATGGTAGACCCTGATATGTTGGTAAATGAGCAAAGCATGAGCAGAACTGATAAAATTTCCAAGAAGGACATAAAAGAAAAGAACAAAGGTGTAAGGAAGCCTTTGAGCAAACCCAAATCTTCCTCACCTGCACGGAAATCGGATGTGAAAGGGAAACGATCACCCACTCCTGTGAAACAGCCATCAGACAAATCTCCAAAATCTGTCACTGCCAAAAAAGAAAGAGACGGAGGAGAAAAGCCCAAACCACGTAGTGTGCTGATGCCAGAGGATGAGTTATCCCGAAGTAGTCACAGCAACCCTGGCAAGAGCCTTGTTAATGGCATCAAAACAAACCCTGGTAAGAAATTCTTCCTGAAGCATGCACTGTCTCTGTAGGTCCAACATAGAGAAAAGCACTAGGTTAAACATAGCAGAATAGAGAACAGGACTTCCCAGTCAGACATAAAAAAGTTACAAGCAGTGATAAGGTTGAGAGGTACAAAAGGTTGATAAAAAAGAGCAAGAGAGTCCTAGGAGTAGCAGCGATTCACAGGGATGGCAGAAAGCCAGGATGAACCTTTTAGAAAGACTACTGTAATACTGTAGACTAGCATAGAAAGGCCACCAGAACAGAGGTTATTTTAGAAAATGTAGGTTATTAAACAACAAAGATTAGGATGAAATATTGATTGGGATAACAAATCTGCAAAAGTTGATAACAGAGATTTTTGATTCCCTTCCCCAGGAAAAGCTTCTGAACCTAAAGCCTTCCAGTCCCTCCCCAAAGAACAGCAGAACTCCCTTTCCCTCCCAAGACCTGTGACAGCACTGGCCCAGAAATGCACCGAGGTCACCTCTAAGCAGCAGAGCTTGGATAAGTCTTAACTTCATTGCTGCAGGGAAAGAAACCTTTCTGGAATTCAAGTCCTTCAGTGTTAATCTGAGTGTTTGCCCTTTCCAGAAGGGTTTTGATAGCATCTTGTTTTCTCTTTTTCCAAAGCTTCCAATAGTCCTAAGAGCAGTTTCTCTGTGCCTATGGGTCCACCTGTCTACGTGGACTTGGCCTACATCCCCAACCACTGCAGCGGAAAGAACACAGACCCGGAGTTCTTCAAGCGGGTTCGAGCATCGTATTATGTTGTGAGTGGGAATGACGCAGCCAATGGAGAACCAAGCCGTGCAGTGCTGGATGCACTTCTCGAAGGGAAGTCTCAGTGGGGAGACAACCTGCAGGTAGGTCATGGAAATGTGAAGGGCTGTGTGATGCTCTTGATGTCACGAGTGCTTGGAAGGTGTGTATCACAAACAAACCTGAAGGAATACACTGAGAGGAAGCAAATGGTACTGGGCATGTCCTGCTCTGCAGTTCTAGCAGAGTAATTGTTTGTACCCAGGATGAGGAGGACACCTGCAAAATGGTGTGAGTGGAAGCAGACACGTCCTCCCTTCCACATCCTTCTGAGGGGAGAAGGCATTTAAAGATCATACACTCCTCCATACCTGCTGCAGGATGAGCCTATCCTCAAGCAAAATCAAGCACCATCACAGTCAGAATTTTCGTCAGTGTGCCACACCCAGTGGCGTCTGTTGCTAGCCAGGCTGCTGAAGATTTTTCTGATAGCAGCTTACTAATAGTGCTTTTAAGGCAGAATGTCCTTAAACACAGTTCTTGCTTAGCCAGGCTTGCAGGACACCCCAAGGGGGCACTGCTGAAGACATGTACAAGAAGATGTGCATGTTCTTTCAGATGAAACAGCCTCATATTTCAAGGTCCCTGAGTTGCACATTGGGTCATCGTGTCTTATGGCATGGACCCCACGCCTCCTACAGTGTCTGTTAACAGTGACTGCCAGCACTGTTCCTTTTCACACTGAAGGATCTTTCTGAGGTTGTTTCTGGAGCTCCCAAGCACAGTGCTCTCCCCTGCACTGCAGCCATTCTCATAATTATGGTGTCAGTGCTGCCACTTTGCAGCCAGTTCAGAGCCCCATTGTGCTGGTACTGTATAAAATAAAGCTCTGCCTCAGAACCTGACATCTGAAAGACATTAAATAGAACAAGCAGTACCAAGGGTACAGTGTTCCAAAATTAACAGGAAATTTTAGCCTCAGCTCCTATGGGCATTGTTTGTCGCTGTGGTTGTTCTCAATCATCTCTGCTGCTTTCTTTTCCCAGGTGACATTGATTCCAACACATGATACTGAGGTGACACGAGAATGGTATCAACAGACCCACGAGAAACAGCAGGAGCTAAACATCATGGTACTGGCAAGCAGCAGCACTGTTGTGATGCAGGATGAATCTTTTCCAGCCTGTAAGATTGAATTCTAAATCTCTCACACTTTGTGTTCATCCATTGACTCTTCAATCACCGATGCAACATCAGAGACACCATCTAATCACAGTCCAGTTCTTCTCTGGTTTAGTCCTCTACATGGTTCCCATTTGTCAGGCAGTCGGGTATCCATCTAGCTCAGCACTGGATGCCATGAGGAAGAAGTGCAGGGCTCTGTAATTTTCTGGACTGAGCAAAGAGTTTGTGCAAGAGCAGTTGCAGGCCAGGGGCACTTTCACTTTCCCTGCTTTATTCTGCTACCTGTACAGTTTCTGTAGACTATCTTGGCTGCCTTGCTGCTGTGAGAGCTTGTTCTACTCTCTTGCTAGCTGCCTTACCATTTAACCTGCAGCACCATGAACCTCATCTTTCTGATGAGGCATGAAGTGCTGCTGCTGCATGCAGAGAGTGCATGGGGGGCCATGGAGCCAAGGTGAAATCTAATTTGCAAAGAAAGTGCACCGGGGAGATGAGGGAAGGCAAAACCCTTCAACTGTTATGTGACAGTGAAGGTCATTCTTCCATCTCCCATCCTGAGCATACAGGAGGTGTTTTGAGCAAGGGGACTTCAACTAGGCAGGACTACCGCATGCCAGCATGGCAAGTTTCTGTCCCAAATATTTGCCTATGGCATCCTGCAGCACCTACTCAGGTGCTCAGGAAGCCAGGATGAAGGACACGGTGGGGGAGGACATGAGAGGGGAGGGTTCAGCACATTCCTAACCTGTTAACTTGAGCTTCGCACACATAGTGGCCAACCTGCACATCAGCTGTGTGGCAGGAGGAGGTACAGGGGGGCTGTGGCCTGAACAGTCACACAAAAAGAGCATCCAAACGCACAACTACAGCCCCCTCCACAGCAGAAGGGCTGAAACAACTCTGGCCATTGTTGGCCCAAGATGTTCGAGAAACCTTCCTGTCCCTAAACGAAAGGCTCTGGAGGACTGCGGTGAGGCCACTGAGGAGCGCGCAGGCTCTGTGGGGGAGGCTGGTGCCTGGCAGGTGTCGCTGGGTGTGCCAGCTTTGCACGCAACAGCCATGTCCTCGCTGCCTGTGTGCCAGGGTCCAAATCTCAGAGTTCTGTTCAAGCTTTTTTTTGTCCCCCCAGGTGTCCTGGATGTGGGGAATAGAACCTGTGGTGTGAGGAAAGAGAACCCCCTTCCCGAAGTACTCGGGAGAAAGTAGTGTAGCAAGCGTAGTCACACTCAGTTATCCCCCTGTCATGGCAGGGATGTGTTGGCAGCACAGGTGAGGTGCTGCTAGTCCATGCAGTGCCACCTTGCAGCTCATTCCCTGACACCACTGTGGGCACCTGTCCTTGCTCTCTGGTCATCCTGACAGAAGCACAGCTGTGTGCCGTGAGTGCACCATGGCTACTGAGCAGCCACCCAGGACCTCCTTGGCAGGCAGACCTGTTCCAGTGTGGGAGACCCATTCTCCTTGCAGGGAGAGCAGCTGCAGGAGTGTGGGTGCTCAGGTGCACTGAGCCAGCAGCACCTTTGCCACCTCCAAGAGCCTTTGCCACCTCCAAGAGCATTGACAGAGGGTCTTATCACAAAGACAGCCTTTATCTTTCTATAAGACAAAGAGAGTGGCAGCAGGCTGTCCTCTAGGGAAGGAGGAATGAGACAGAAAGCAGTGCTGCAAGGCTTGACATTCAGCACAAAGGTATTTCTATCTGCTGTGTCATCCACTGTGCTTGGCCCTGAGCCGAGGGCTGACTCCACCATGAGCATCACGAGACCATGTGTTGCACTTGCCTGGGACACTTCAGTCTCAGTGCTAGTTTTCTGGCAGGTGACATAAAGAAAATGCTGCTTAGAAACCTGCTCCTAGGATAAAAATGGAGTTTCTAGGGAAATGGTCTATCTTGCATTTAATTTATATATTTATTTTTTTTAATGTAAAGCTGCATTTTTTGTTGATTTAATATTTTAATTTATACATGTTAACATGATACCATGTGCTTTTAGTGTCAGTTCAGAGGTTTCTTGGTACAAATACTTACATGCTGCAATTTAAATAACAACATAAAAGGACCACAGAGAACTTGGCAGCCAAAATGTCTCTGCAAGGCTGTATCTAAAACCCAGCAGCTGCAGGACAAGGCCTGAGGCCAGCAACCTCCCCAAGGCGCGGCCAGCCCTTTGGATACAGCCCTTGTTAGGAGCATGTGAGCTTACTCAGGGCTTTAGCAAATCCTTGCCCTGTGCTGTGTTCATTTTAACCATGGGATTACCCTGTATCTGCCAGCAGAATAAATGTCATTCTCTGTTCCCCGATGGGGTCAGCATCCATGATGTTGGTTCTGGCAATAGCAGGCAGTACAACACCTGCCCCTGTTCCCCCCCAGAATGCTGGGGGGATTTGCCTGCAGTGCTTTGGGGAGACGGTGGCTCACCCACCGTGGCAGCAGCTGCAGGATGCCAGGCACCAGAGGCACAAGCGTGGCCCTCACTGGCTCCCAGGATCCCTGTATGTGGCTAGATGTAAAAGCTAATGCACTAACTTTAGATAGACCCACACATGAATGTTTTCTCAATTTTAAACTTGAAGCAATTCTAAGCAGCAGTAATAGTGAGGCTTTGTGAGGTACCTGCGTCCTCCAGCAGGTGTGCGGCCAGCAGCAGGTTCCAGAAGGAATGCTGCCCTCCGCACTCCTTTCCTGCCTTCTGCAGCTCTGCTGCTTTGACAGCTTTATCCTACACCAGTTCAATTCCCTGTCCTCAAGGCTCCACATTTTGTTTTCAGTTTTTTGTGGCAGTCTGTTCTGCCTTCAGCTTCTCTCGCTCCCTGTCTTTTTCCACCTGCTCCACCTTCCATCTTAAAAAACTATGGGGAAAAAGACTTATGAAGATGCCAATTTGTAAAGAAGCCTGACCCTGCTCAGGCCACAGGAGCCAGCAGGACCTACACGGAGCCAGGGGCAATACAACACTATAGAGAGAAACAGTTAAACTCTGCTTTTGCTTGTTTCTGCATGTGGGCAACAACGCGTAATCTTCCTGTATGTAATAGGTAAAAAATACTATTTTAAACCTATAATTAAAAAAGTGAACGTCTTAACTGTATTGAAATGGCAACTTGTGCTCCTAGCTTCTTCTATGCTAAATGTTTTAAGAACAGAGCCCTGATTCTTTTCTTCAGCATCATATTTCTATTTGAATTTAGTTCCTTAAGTTCTGTCCTTTTGCCCATTTTCCATGTGAAACACTCTGTAACTAACTGCTGTCAAGAGAGGAGCCCAACACATTAATAATAAAGCCACATTAATTGCGAACAAAAACATCACCAGTTTCAAACTGTTCTTTCAGTGAGCCCACACTGTAGGGAGGGGCATAAGACACAGCTGCTGTGCCACCCTCCCATGTCTCCCAGCTCAGGCAAGCCTCGGCTTTTCCACCTTCAGCAGCAGCTGCTAAAACCTCCTGTGTCTCAGGAGAGAGACACAGAGGCTGTCTGGGACACCCCCCCACCGGCCCCAGCAGGGTGACCAGTGGGTCCCTCTATGGGACATCTGGGACGCACAGCTGGCTGAGGGCTGAGGGGTGGGAACACAGCCCCTGATAATCCAGCGAGGGGCCTGGCACAGCCTGTCTGTCCTGGGATGCTGCCACTCCTCACAGTTCCCAAATCATGCTTTCAATTGTGGCCTTGTATCTGTCCCTGCACTTCTTGGGAATGGCAGCTCTGCCCAGTGCTGCTTGCACTCCTTGGGAAGATCTCTGGCCCTGGGGCAGGCAGAGCACCTGCTGGCTCAGGGCTGGGGCCAGGCACAGTAGGGATCCCACACCTTCTGTCCCCATTGCAGAAATAGGGCTTTTGCACCTCTGCAGAACTCTGACCTGACTTCGTGCAAGGGAACTCTCAGTTACTCAGCAGAAAACTGGGATGGCTGCTGCTCTGCTTGTGTGGTGATGCAGTCTAGAGAGGCTGATGCCCAGTTAGCTCTGCTCCTACCTGGCTGTCCTCAGGGGGAAACAATAGCACAGGTGGATGCAAGGGAAAAGGAAAGCAGGTTCTGTGCTGCAATCCTCAGGAGACAAGCCATCATGGCCATGGAACACACCACAGCTTGTGCAGTGCCTGATGGAGAGCTCAGAGCAACTGCCAAAGCTGGTGCTGACAGGGGAGGAACCACAAACCGTTACCATAAACCAGGAACTATTTCCACAGCTACACTCCAGGTAAACGAGCACTGGCTTTGGCCATGCTCCTGGTAACCGAGGTGCTGTGACCGCAATGCATTTCCCAAAGGTGTGCAGTGACAAGCATCCGGCTGTGTGGGGTCAGCACCTGAGAGCCAGGCCCCCCCCCTACAGGGTCCTGCTCCGGGCCCCTCTCAGCAATGACACCCTGTGGCAGGTGCTGCCGGGTCCATCGGGGTGACCCCAGGCGCTGGCCCTGGCAGAAACACGCAGGTCCTGGCAGGAGATGCAGCTGGTGCCCAGCAGAGACCTGGCTGTTGGAGCAATGCTGGTGGCAGCAGATGCCATGCGGTGTGGGGTGGGGGCTGTGGGCAGTGCCCAAGGGGCATCTCGTGTGGTCCCTCAGCCTGCGCTGGGGCCGGGGCCAGCTGCAGCCCCCTGGCCAAGGTCTCTGTTCATGCAGGACTGTAACACATGGAGAGCAGAGGGCAGGGCAGGCCCTTCACCTCCTCAGGCTGGCACAGCCTGGTGTGAGGGGGGCCAGGTTGCCCTCAGCACAGTGCTGCACTCCGGGCAGCTGCACGACTGCTACATTCCCAGTGCAAACAAACGTGATCCTGCTTACCTGCCCGAACTGGCAGCTCAGGATTATTGGGCATGAGGAAGAAGACACAGCACCCAGGATGTACTTGAAGTGACTGGAAGATGTGGACTAAGTGAAAGGGGCCAAACACACTGTCCCAGTGTCTTCATTCTGTCACAAACCACCCTGGGACTTGGAAAGCCAGGACATCCTCCCCAGTATGACCAGTTCTTCCATGTAGAAAAAAAGGTACCTGGCCTTGAGCCTGTGCACTCACGCACTCTGGGTGTGACTTCAGCCACACTTGTCCCAGAACAGTGGACATAAGCAGGGCTGCACCTGCAAATACTGGCACACACACACTGCTGCCATCAGAGACAGAGAGACGCTGGACCCACAGCATAGATTTACTGTGAACATGTCATCACAACACAGCATAGAGATCTTTGGGCACAGCTTCACAAAAACACATATTCTAGCTACAGACAGACACGCAGACTTGTCCATAAATATAGGAGGAGTAGGAAGCACAGCCCTGGCCGGCACTCGGGATGCGGCAGGGACACCCGTATCAATCTTGCCTTCAGGCTTGTGCTCACAAGGCATTTACATAAATATGTATTAAATACTTCTCATTTTATATATAATAAAGATTTCTCCTTATTGGTTTCTAATAGTCCTGAATTGTTCAAAGAGCAGTTTCTTTTAATTTCTGTCACCAAGACTTCAGAGCTGTACCCTGCCTGACCCTTGGGGACGAGAAAAAAAACCCGTGTGCATCCTCCTTGCATACCTCTCTCAGGTTGGATCCCCACGCTCCTGCCTGCCCCAGCCCAGCAGGAAAACATCCAAGGCCACGCCAAAGAGATGTTTGCTTGGGAGTGGCAGTCTTGAACTCGATGCCCTCACTACCCTCCTTCCCACATTCAGAACGCTTTTTGCTTCTCCTAGTCTTCCTGCCTTTGACCCTCTGGACCTGGTTTTGGTGGCCAGCAGTGGGAATTGAGAGAGGAGGAAAGAAGAAACAGAGAGGAGGTTGGTGGTTGTGACAGATCCAATTAATTTGGGCCCAAAATGCCTTTTTCTGAAGGCTATGGGCCAAAAAGTCTCAAGGGAGTATCTCGTCCCTCGGACTTACCACCCCAAAAGCCTTGGCTGTACCAGTCCTCTAATGCTGCTGTCCCAGCGAGCACACAGACCTTGGGACACCAGTGCAGTGCCATGTCCCCACTCCATAGAGGTGCCATGCCAATACCAAGACTGCATTTGCTGTTCATTTAACGAGGCAAACATTCTTGCTGAATGGCAAAGAGCTGGCTTGTGGAGGAGCAAAGCAGATCCTTCCACACTCCAGAGTCCTGTGGCCTTGGGACATGGCTTCTTCTGTGCTATGGACCACCAGCTGCATGAGGTGCTGTGCAGGAAACTGGGTTACCTCCAGGTTAGAAGTGCTTGCAGTGTGCTGTCTAGCGAGCCACTAATTCTGCTGGTCCTCCTGACACAGCAGCCGCAGTTCCTCCATGCTTTTCTCAGGAGGCAGTGCCTGCACCTGGCACAGGTGACCAGAGAGAAGCTGGTCAGACAGAGCACTGTCCCCCAGCAGCTCCTTGCCCATATGCTCTGGATCCAACACCTCTCCCAGCAGCTCCTCTTCACAGGGCACCAGGATCTCTTTGGACAGCCCAGACTGATCCAGGCCAGTCATTCCTCCAACACACCCCTCACCTGGCTTCACTCGCTCCCCAACCAGCCTCAGGTCAGACCCTGCACCACACTTTGGGTTTCCTGTGTTACTTGGATCTAACATTTCCCCAGATGATTCTTCATCCAGCTCCCCCATGTTCTTCTCCTCTGGGTTAGTGTCCTCCTCTGCCAACTCCTTCTTGCAGAGCCTGCCTGGCTCTGGGCCTTTATTCCAGGTCAGGGTCTCTGAAACTCTTGGCTCTGCCGCTGACAGCCCAAACCTCCCCCCCTCCGTGTCAAGCCCTCTGCCTGGAGGCTGACTCTCTTCCTGCTCAGGGGACTGTCTACTCAGTTGCTCCTCACTTTTTGGGGGGCTGATGGAAAGTTTCTCAGTGAAGCTGAAATGAGCACAGTTGTCCACAGAAGTTGGAGAGGACGGGCCTGCACTGGAGACAGTACTGGAGGGGCCACTGCTGTCTGCAAAGAGGAAGAAAAATCTTAAACATGTAGCTGATATTTCCCCACCCAAACTGTCACAGTCCTGCAATTCTACAACCAACACGTGATGGCTGTCTACATGCCAGGCGACCTGGCAGGGGCTTGCAACTGGTCTTGGGGTGTTTCTGGCAGCTTAGCTGATGAAAACTCAATCACACACAGGTCAGTTCCATCCTGTAATCCAGTGGCATACAACCAAGAGTGGATTCTGTTGTCACAGAGCAAAATGTGAAGTGTGATGGCTTTGAAAACAAAACCATTTTCTTTCATTCTCTCCCTATTATGGACTACTATTATGGATCAGTCTCAGCTTCACCTTGCTCCTCCTGGTTCCTGACACACAATTCCTGAATGTTGAGCAAGAGTCAACGCTGGAGAAAGAAACACTGATTCTCTACTAATGCTTATCCTTGCCTTATATTGCACAATGAGCAAAACTAGAGAACAGATCTAGATTATATCTAATCCAATAAAGGAGGAGGATTAAACAACTGTTTTCAGCCAGATCAGTTCCCTAACCTTCACAAACTTCCCTCCCTCCCCACCACATTCACCCCAATCAAGAAGGTAGCACACTCACACCAAGGGGGCTTATCTGAACGCTGGCGCAACGGCAAAGAGGATGATGTCAGGATTCGCTGGGACATAAAGGGGTCTCCTGGTATCTGGCTACCAATCATTGAATCAAATAAAGCTTTAAGAAAAAGAATACACAATCAGTAATATTCAGACAGACATAAAGGAACAGCTCATAGCCCAGCATCCATGATCAGGTACTCCAGGAAGAGCTCAAGACTAGTCAAATCAGAGCCATGCCTGCCCGTCAGCTCCTGGGAATATTTCCCAAGCTGGAGTTTGTATCCACATCACTGTAGTCACCAGCTACAGACAGACCTGACTGATTACTCTTCTCCCACGTAAGTGGCCTAAGATGGCTCTGAGCTGGGTCCCATGGCTCACCCCTGGGCTAGAGCACTCTGGAACAGGTTCCGGAGACTGCACTTATCTCCAGTCCTATCAGGCTGATCTGTCCCCAGAATGTAAAAGACCAGGAGTGCTCCTTGCCTCTCCAGAGACAAGCCCACCTGACCAGTACCTGCAGTGGACTGGACATGCGATTCGCTGCAACTCCTGCACACAGCTGTCAGGAACTCGTTGACCTGTCGCAAAGAGAGGGAGTTGTGCAGGGTCTCCAGGGGATAAATGGTGGGAACCATGGAACAGCCTTCAAAACCTAGAAAGACATCCAATCGGAAAATGAGTAGAGCAAACAGCAAGGTAAATCCATGCAGGAGCACTCATGGCTGAAGGAGCTGGGCACTCTGGGTATCAAACAACAGGCACACTCAGGCCTCAGGTCACCTCTTCTAGGCC